GTACTACTTGTAGTCGGTATGGAGTATGGAGATTGTCTACTCTTGCTCTGGATGGATAAGGTATTCTCATCGGAGTCGGATGAAATTTCTATCGGGGTCGGTGAGCTTTCATGTGACGTAGATGCTGCATTCCTCTGATTCAATTTTTCTATTTCACTAGTTAATTCAGCAATATAGCGTTTGAGTTTTTGCTCCTTTTCATCCACGTTCACCTGCATTGACGCGTCGTCGTCTTCACTTAACGCGTTCACCTTGATTCTTGATAAAGCGTCGGCATTACAATTTTGTTTTCCTTCCTTATGTTTTATTTCATAATCAAATTCCGCAAGCCGCAGTTTCCATCTTGTTAACTTGCTATTCGGTTCTGATATTGACTTGGCCCACATAAGTGGTCTGTGGTCGGTATATATGATAAATTTTTGTCCGTAAAGGTAAGGTCTGAAATGTTTTGTGGCCCACACTATTGCTAGGAATTCCTTTTCGATCGTGCTGTAGCGTGTTTCTGCGTCATTCAAAGTACGGCTCGCGTAAGCTACCGGTTTGTCGCTGCCTATAGGTCCTTGGGATAGTACTGCACCAATTGCGTAATTCGAGGCGTCCGTTGTAAGAATAAATGGTTTGGAGAAGTCTGGAAATTGTAAGAGCGGTGCGTTTGTCAAGAGCTCCTTGCATCTTTCAAATGCGTCTATGTATTCTTTTTTTGTACAGTCAATTCTATTTTTCTTTTTTAGACATGATGTAAGAGGTTGCGTGATTTTAGCAAAGTCTTTTATAAACTTCCGGTAGTAACCTACCAATCCAAGAAAACTCTTAATTTCAGTAGACGTTCGTGGTAGTGGGAATTTCAATACAGCTTCTATCTTGTCGTTATTGGGCTTTAAGCCGTCTTTCGTAATTGTGTGTCCAAGGTATAGAACTTCTTTTCGTAGGAATTCACATTTATCTAAGGTAACTTTGAGATTGGTTTCCCTGAGTCGATCAAAAACTTTCCTGAGTTTGTCGATATGTTCTTGCAGGCTGTTAGAGAACACTATGATGTCATCAAGATATACCAGGCAATGTATACCCTGAAGTCCTCGTAGCACGTTGTCCATTGCCCTCTGGAATGTTGCAGGAGCTGTCTTGAGCCCGAACGGGAGTCTTTTGAATTCGTAATGTCCTGTCTGTGTGGTGAATGCCGTTTTTGCCCTGTCTGCTTCGTTTACTTCAATTTGATGGTAACCACTGGCCAGGTCTATGGTGCTAAAATATTGGGATTTGCCTATTTTATCGAAAATATCTGTTATATTTGGCAATGGATATTTGTCGTCTACGGTTATTTCATTGAGACGTCTATAGTCGATGACCATCCTATATTTTTTTTCTCCAGTTGCATCTAATTTCTTTGGCACCAAATGAACGGGCGCACTCCAAGGTGAGTGGGAATCAACTATTACATTATCTGTCAAAAGTTTATCTACCTGTTTCTGAATTTCTTGATTAACAGCAGGCGGGTGTCTATAGGGCCTGATGTAGATTGGGTCTTCGTTGGTAGTCCTAATATTGTGCTTTATTTGGTTAGTAAATGATAATGGTATTTTATCACAATAAAATATGTCACGATACTCATAACACAATTTAGAAATATACTCACGTTCTTCTTTATTTGTGTGGTCTAGTCGTAATTTTTTCAAGTTCTCTTTCAGTAGGTAATCAGTATTAAGGTCACCTTCTATAAAGTTAACTTCACATTCTTCATTCTTATAATGGTTACGTGAAAAGGTTCTTTAAAAGTTATAACGGCTTTTACTTCAGAAGCGTTCTGTATGACCGTTTCAGCAAAGTAGTTCTCGCACTTTACAAGTGCGGCTGGCATACGGACGCCTTCCTGAAATTGCTTGTAGTCTATCAATGCTTCACCATGTTGTAAGTCAGTGGGAATCCTAATCTTCCTCTCAGTTCGTGGTGGTATCTCGATCTCATATGGTGGGTCGTATATTATAGGAATATACGCGTTGTGGGTCACCAACATTTGGTTACGCATGTCAATGTTTGCTCCTAATTTGGATAAAAGGTCAGATCCTATTAACCCGTCGTAACGTTTGTCTACGTCATACACATAAAATTTTTGCTGGAGATGGCTCTTGAAAGTTTTCAGCAATGGTATGTATATAATTTCATCATGTGTGCTCTGAGCATGAGTGCTAATAACTTTAAAAGGTTCATAGTATCTAAAATCATTAAAGTATTCTTTAACTTTTGCGGGACTTATAAAGGAACGCGAACTTCCCGTGTCAATAAGAAATTTAGAGTTTATTTCAGGTATTTCTATGTGTGGTAATTTTTGGATGCTGTTACAATAATTAAGGTTTATTATTTCTCCACATCCGTCGAGGCCGTTTCCCGAAAATTTTCCGAGTTTACAGGTATTTCGTCATGGGTATTTTCTTCATAACTATTTTCCTGGTATGCGAGACTTACTTCGTCGGTATTTTGGATATAATTGCATTCGTTGACGGAGTACGGTGCACCGTTTCCATATGAGTCATAGTTATAGTCATAATTATACATAGGCTCGTCGTAGTAAAGCTCATTCACAAGAAGGTTCTGCCTAACAGGGGCGGTACGCATCGTGACGTCATCATCATATTTTGGAGGCTGTATTTGTTGGTGGGGTATCCCGAATTTAAATCCACCGTATTGGAATGGTGGTCGTTGGTTAGGGGCTTGAGATGGGCGCTGCGGTTGAATTCCGAAACGATAGCCTTGTGTGGGTGGTGTGAAGGTTGGTTGTTGAGATGGAAACCTTGGTGGTTGGTACCCAAATTTCGGCTGCTGTGTTGCTTGGAAAGTTGGCTTATGTTGTGGGAATGTGAATCTTGGTTGTTGCATTGTTTGGAAAGCTGGTCTAAGACTAACGTTTTGGGGTATGCCGAACTTGAAATTATTATGTGGAATTCCAAATTTAAAGTTATTATTTGCGTGTGGTGTTAAGTTGAATGATGCTGGTTTTGGATTTACCGGTTGAGATGTATTAGGTGAATTTTGGGCGGTTTGTCTCAAAAGTTTGCTTTTGGCGTCGTATTGGAATTTGAAGTTTACCTCTTCTGTGACAATACTGAGTGCGTTTTCTAATGTAGAGCAACCTTTTAGCCTTACAATTCTAATCATATCCTCAGGGAGGTTATACAGAAAAACATTTAAAGCCGTATTATTATACACAATCATTTTGGCAGCCTTGATTCCTTCATCAGGCAATCTGTTGACCTTGGCAAAAAGTGAACTCCTAACATTTTGGATTCGATGGCAAAATTGAATATATGTTTCCGATGGTTTTATTTTGAGGGTCTCTAGTTCGATCGCGATACATTCCTCCGAACGAGGATCGCCGAAATGTTGCGTTAAAATTTCCTTTAAGGCTAAATAAGACGTAATGTTTGGGTGATCGCTTAATAAAGTCGCGGCTCTACCCGTCAGTCTACTAGACACAGCATGAAAAACATACAAATCTTGGGCCTGGTTTCCTACTATCACGCTTCCACTAACCACGTAATCACATTTGGATAAGAACAGGTTAAGCTGGCTTTCGTCCCCATCGTATTTAGGGATAAGTGAGAGCACCTCTTTAGGAATTGCTCGGAACTCCATTTTATTCACAAAATTAATGACTAAAACCTATCTCTACTTTATATACAATTTCAATGTTATTTAACTTTAAATTTATTTCTAAAATTTTTGACTTGCCGAGTTGTGCAAATGCGTAAAGATATGGTAGTAAGCTAAGCGATTTACCTATTTAGTGTAAATCAAAATCAAATAAAATTAATACTTAGATTCTACAAATTATAATGCGATATTATGTTGGAAAAGTCAAAGGAAATTGCAGGAAGTGAAAAGGTTTACTCACGCTGTTCTGCTCAATCCCATGTCCTCCTGAGTCTGCTCCGACACCCAATTTGCGCGCTTCCCCGGGAGACGAATTTTATTTTTGGTTCGACGGATTTTCCTCGTACGCGTAAAAACGGTTTTTCGAATTTTCGCCAAGTTTGGGGCGAACGCGACCGTATATATTCGCGAAACTTTCGGAAAATCCTACCGGCTGCGCCAGTCAAGTTTGAGGAAGGCGCAACTTGCTTTTTAAAAAGACACTAAATCGATTTTTAATATTTAATGTTAATTAAAAATTACAAGTGAGTGATACAATCGGATGTTTAATACAGACTGTCCTTACGACTAAACTTAATACTAAAAGAAACGAGGGCTGGAACTGCTGCCTCTGCATTTCCTTCACCGCGGAGCACGTGATACGTCAGCACTTAAAGTTAAAAACTTCATTGGTGCCGGCACCGGGGATCGAACTCAGGCTGCTCGAGTATATTGAATTAAAGGCGAGCGCCCGGACACTGAGTTATCACGGCTCTCATAGAGTACGTCCCCATAAAAGTGGTCATCGGCCCTCATAATATCATGGAGTAAAGTTTGTTTAGCAGACATTTTGTGCCAGGTTCATAGAATATTATTTTTCATTCTATATTCTTTAAAGAAATGTTGAAAATATGTGACATACACATATTATTTAGTAAACAACTGCGTCACAAAAACAGCAAGCATAGCAACAGAATATTAAGGAACAAATGTTAAAATAACGCCTGTACGAGTAGTAATAAACTTTTTAATATTGCTGTTGCTTTAACTCACATTTGTATCATAAGAATAATATTAAGCGTACTTACACTTTTATCAAAATTTTCATAAAAGAATATATCTAAATGACGCTTTCTTATTCGTCGATTATTTTATATTTCCCTATAAAGAGCAAATATGTACGGTGGATACTTTTACTTGCATGCACAAATGTTGACCCTAAATATTAAAATTAAATATCCCGTTAGTATATAAAACAACACGATAATAATAAATAATTTTCTTCAAAAAGGTTTAATATCTTATGTTTTAAATAATGTTAAGTATAAATAATTTACTTATACAGGAGTTTAATATAAACTGCACAAGAATTCTTATACAAAGTTTAGTGTTGCGAGCATTAAAATCATAAGGACGGTTGCACTTTTCCCGAACGCTGCCTTCGATTCATATGGATCGACGTCGAAATCATAGTCGATAATTCTGCTCCTGATTATTTCTTTGTAAACTAAGGCAGATTTCTTCGGGAATCTCTTCCTCTCTGGATCGTCTACATGAATCTCGTAGATGCCAAACCTCAAGCTGAAATGAAGTTATGTGATGTCACAATGAGATAACAATACTCTTACCAGCCCTATTATTGAGTACCGAATCGACCATTAAATTTTGTTTATTATTTTTCATTTAAGATTCTATCCTAAGCTTAAGCCAGAACAATTCGGAATATAATGGAAAAAAGCTATACGAAAAAGACTTTTGGTGTACAAACGGTGTTATCATTTGTTAGCTGTGACAAAAAAAAATCATGTCTTATACGCGCACGTCATAAGTAAAGTCACGCGCTGGCTCAACTCAAGGATTAAAATGTTCATTTTTCCACGTGGTTTGTATCAATATTATAAATGAACCTTTGCGATCAAACTAAGAAGGCGGTTTATTCTTAATAAGTTTTTAACGTTTGCGTTGTACTTGTAAAAAATAGTATATTCGGCCATACGGCAAACACCGATTAGTCTTTGAGCATTCTCAGAAAGCCTTCCCAGCATATTAGGCAAAAGTATTTGACCTATTTTTTATTCTAAGGTTTAAACGCATCATAAATATGAGTACGTAATCATTTTGATTTTTATAAAAGTGAAATTGTGTTAGGAATTAATAATTATAATCGAATATAGCCTTTGAAAAAGCAATGTGCATACTTCTTAGAAGATGAAACTGGTCGGAAAAATTTCGCGTAGAAAGGAAAGGACCGAACTACGGGCACAAATGTAAAAAGAAGAAGTAAGCTATGAACTGGGCGACTAGTTCGGTTGATCAATAATAAAAAGCAGTTGCTAATCTATTGGCTTCGGGGGCGGCCGGTCGTAATGAACCTAGCCAAAACCACTTAGGTACAACATGATTTACATGTCGTGACGACCCCACCTAGGCGGGATGAGGACAGGAGGATGAGATCATCTAACATACCTATAGCCAAAGCTCCACTCGAAGTTGTCCATCAAACTCCAAGCGAAGTAGGCCTTCACGTTGACACCCTCCGCTAAGGCGTCGAGCAACGCATTTAAATAGTTCCTGTAGTACTGGACGCGGGCGTCGTCATTGCGGCCAGTTTGCGTGGAGCACCCATTCTCCGTGATATATATCTTCGGGTTTTTATACGTGTTCTTCAGGTACACCAGCAAGTGGTAGAAGCCAGGCGCATATTCCTGCAGTAAATTAACAGACAACACGTCTAACTGCTGAGCTGATCTCAATACAGATGGTATAAGGGTAGGCATAGTTCACCATGCGACCACACCGCGGATTGCCAGATTTCACATATCTTTGAAACATTTTTTATTATCATATCGAAAATATAACCATAATTATTAAGATTCAACTGCTATATCCATTCGAACAGTGAAATAGGTGGAGTAGCAACGGTCTGTTATTTACTGGTTAAAAAGAAACGTTAATTTTGGCGCAGGTATGTAATATTATTACAATCGCATGACCTTTACAAGGTTAGTCTATATATATGACCGTTAAAACTTGTTAATGATTTACTATATTTATTGGAAAAAATAACGTTTCATCACTGCCATAAATAAAATAAACCAACCGGTGTTTATAGAAAGTAATTGCCTCCGACCAAAACAAAGCGTATTATTGTATTGCACATTACAAATTGCATAAGTTCGCTTAGCGTCATTGTCTTTGGTTTATGCCTTGGACAAAAAACTCCAAGTGATTAACGAGATCAAAGTCAAACGAAAAATCATTTTTTTTTCAATTACGGCATCAGAGTTGCCATTTTTATACTTACATAAACAAATCCACTGTCGACTGGCCAACTAGGGTCGGAGTACTCTCCGTAGAACGCGTCATCACGATTCGATGGCACGTGGAAGGTTCCAGCAAGGGATTCGTTCCTGTAAACTATCTTGCTGGTGTAGTGGTTCAAGCCGAGGAAGTCGGCGGTGCCCCTCATGTACTCTATCTGCTCGTTGGTGAAGGGGCGAAGGCGTGAAGCATTTAGGCCTTGCGCAGCGCTGGCGGCTGCGACGCGGTTAACCAAACGTGCGGGGTAGCCGCCGGATTCCGAGAATATCGGGTCCATGTATTGGCCGATCTGAAAATATAAGTTCTCAATCCTTATAGTTGGGGGTATAGCCTAGATTAAACGAGTTCTCAAGCCCTAGCTGGTTTTGGCGATCGATTTCTGCACCGAATCGTGACAATGTTTGAAGTTATACCACTTTTGGCGCGTTTGGAAAAAATATACGAGTAAAATGTCTACGATTTGCGCGTATTTTTTTAACACGAAATGTTTGATAGCACGCTAGCATTTCGCCGGATTTTAAGTGATATCCATAATAGTTGTGGGGTTTTAATATTATTGGCAATCCTTAATTTTTTTATTGGACGAGGTGGCAAACAATCGATTCCCTCGATGGGAAGTAACGCCCATGGCCAGGTCGTGGACAAATTTAACAGCTGCGGCGTTGCAAACACGTTGCCACTTTACAAAAGTGTGGGCAATCGCATGCTTGCTGGATAGAATGTAAAATTATATTACTTCAACATTACTCCGGTCTCATAATGTTCGGATGGGTTGAATGAACGGCTAGGACTGATAAATGGAAGAAAACATTTTACTTTAAAAGATCATAGCAATCCTTAGGTAGCCTTCCTTCCCGGTGGAGCCAATCGTAAGATCATTTATGATAAGCAACCGGCGAATGCGAATGGCATATTGCCGTCTCCTTCTATAGAGGACTTCCGTCTTTGTTCAACAGTGGACATCTTCTTAGTTATGATAATGACGATGATGATTTACGCTTCTTCGCGGTGGGTATCCAGGCTTAGTGTTATGCGATATGAGAGCTTATCGTAGATTTATTTTTACGTTATTAGTTTATTATCCTAATCTAATAAGGATTATGAACGTGACGGTTCTAGTTCTAATAAGATTTATTTCTTAGACACTTGGCCGTTATCTAAAATAAAAATACTATCATGTTTTCATTTAATATAAAGATATGTGACATGCAAAAACGATTTTGACGTTTCACAAGAAGTTGGCGGCGTTAGTTTCGATTGCGACAACGTGCCATAACAAAGTCCACAGAGCACTGTAGAATTACGTTACAACTGTATGTCGCTGACCCTGAAGATGGCATAGACTTACCCGGTTGTGGCAGTTTTAAACATAATGAGCAACGCAAACAAAATCGTGGGTATCAGCTAGTACGAAATAAGAGTACTAATTTAGTTCCGCTTTGGCAATTTGTCAAGCCAACGCCTTTGATAATGGCAGTTTGTGAGCGTATTACCTTATTATCCGTGGGAGATTAAGATAACAGCTATATATATATATATATATATATATATATATATATATATATATATATTATGTTTTTGGCTGAAAGTAAGAATATTTTGCAACATTGTTCGGTACCTGAATATATCGTATATTGCCTCACAAAGGTAGATAAACAAGGCTGAACTCACATTGAAAGCGATATGGTCCTGGACTGCCTCAAGATCATCCAAGGAGTCGCTCTCCGGCATCGTCCACTCCATGCTCACGACGATGCCCACCTCCCCGCCTTGGGACGCCCTGAACTCCTCGTCGTAAAGGTGATAGGCTTTCGCATTGGCCAACAGTATGTTCCTGCCGCACTCGTAATAGCCGACACCGGGAGAGAATATTCTGGGCGCATGTCCAGCGACACCGTAACCGAAGTAGCAATGGATGTGGGGCTCGTTTATCGTCATCCAGTGCTTCACTCTATCGCCAAAGTTTGCGTACAGCACCCGCGCGTAGTCCGCGAACCAGTCCACGATGTCCTCGCTGAGCCAGCCGCCCTGCTCGTTGAGGTTCTGGGGCAAATCCCAGTGGTACATAGTGACGTACGGCGTGATGCCATTCTCCAGTAACAAGTCTATCAGCGCGTTGTAGTAGTCCACGCCGAGCTGGTTCACGTAGTCCGGACGGCCGTACGGCAGGATCCTGGGCCACGATATGGAGAACCTGTAGTTGACCACGCCCAACTCCTTGAGCATTTCCACGTCCCTTTTGTAGAGGTAGTAGGAGTTGGCAGCGATGTCGCCGGTCGTGTTGTCACGTATATGCTCGGGCGCGGTGCGGACTAGGTGGTCCCACATGGACCACCCCTTGCCTGAGGCGTGATATTATATGTGTGCTTATTGGTTTAGCGGAATTGAACCTTAACAGAAATAGACCTAGCGTGTTGCGGTAGAAAGTAAGCAAGCAAAAAAGCATGCTCCTTTAGTCGTGAGTATCGATACTAAACAACAGTAATTCCAGAAGAATGAAAGACGCAGAAAGACACCGACAAATTAAATGTCATCCTCTAGTTTTTGTCTACATTTATTACTAGTTCAGCACCTAATAAGATTGCAATCATGAATTATTTATTATGCTGCAATAACGAATGGTATTGGATAAAACTCACCGTCGACATTCCAGGCGCCTTCTATTTGGTAAGAAGAAGTGGCTGTACCGAATTCGAAATCTGGTGGGAAACTTTTCACATTCCTTTGCCGCCCCGATGATGCCTTTATGGCGAAAACGCTGTAAAGTCGGAAATGTTTTCATGCCCATTATATATTACACATAGACACGGAAACGAAAACACACATAAACATATATCGACTCGGTTATCTATATGAGGTACAATATCTTAGTTTTCGCGAATGGGCAAGACCTTCCAGGTAACTAACGCGACCTCACAGAAGACCAGCGTGAAATAGGAGAGTTACTTTTGCGTTTACTCTGGTGAGTGAGGTAGCCGGTTAAGGTGAAACGTCTGAAATAAAATGCTTCAAACAAATATACATTTGAATAATTTGGATTTATTCTGTATACTTACCACAGGAACAAAAAAACTACCTTTATTAGAACATATTTTGACATTTTTTTCTTTTTACAAAACTCACAATGAAAAGCATTGATACACTTATCGATCTTATATAATTTTCGCTAATTTTATCTTAATGTCATACAAACCGATACCGATTGGTGTTTGTTTTCCAACTTATAAATTTAGGGCCGATAATTAGGGTTGTCAAAACTAAAGCTGCTTTTTAGACTCGTTATTCAGTCCACATACCACATAAAGCCTTGATTTAAATCTAGTAGGTAATCCAATAGATGTATTGGATTACCTACTAGAATGACTATGACTTTCACATGTAAGTTTATTTGCCATATATACTTTTCAATAACGTCCAAAAACATCATGACTCCTTAAATTTCTTGGGAGGCGCTGCAACCTTTTACTACAAGTAGTGGCATACACTACTTGTAGTCTTGCTTAGACTCATGGCCATAATGATGAACCCAAGTTTCATCACGAGTAACAATTCGGTTCCATGTCTTCACAAAAGAGATCCAAAAACGCTTGAGAACATTGGACCACTGTTGTTTTTGCAGCGAAGTGAGCATTCTCATCACCCATGACCCACCATTCGCTGACCATAGTCATCCCAAGAGTCCCCGTAAACCGATGACATCACTTCCATGTATGTATGATTTCAACAGATTTTCCTTGCTTGGTAAGAAACACGATGACGTCGGGGTTTTTTTTATTATTTTTTTTTTATGTGAAAAGTTGCCAATCGAGCAGACGGTTGCCAAGCCGCCCATGGACATCTGCTACACCCGAGGTCGCAGTTACGTTGTCAACGCACCTTTTGAAAATTGGGCTCCGACCACCTCACTCACCAGATGAAACGCGAAAATATTATACTTCCACTTTACGCCGGTCTTCTGTGATGTCGTGGTACTTACCCGGACGAGCCAACCTATTCGTGCAACAGCGGAGGCTGCTGCGTGGCCCTAACACCGTAAGGTACTGGATTTTATCCATTTTCCAAGCTTTCTTTCAAATTGAGTTGACCCGGCAATCCCACCATTCCGCGAACATATCGATGCACCTCCCTCTTAATAAAACGGATCTCATCCTATCACTTTATTGTAGGAAGATGTGAAAGAACAGCAACAACCCTATATAATTATCGTTATCTATTTATAACATAACAGGAAACCACCCACCTTTGACGTAAGCCATTCAATATCTTGGACAATTTAAAATACATAAACAGCTATCGTAAAAAAAATATCACTACAATAAATAATTACGATTTTAAATATCTACCGATAATTTAAGTGCATTATGTATGAGAATATAGTATATATATCTAAGTCTGATAAACACTGTTTTGGTACAAAATTATTGCAAATTGTATGAAACCTCCTTATTCACAACTCTTTTCATAGCCAGTGCCGCCCGTAGCTTTTTTTGACAGCCCCTAAAGAAAAACAGAAAGTAACTAACTACGTTGAAAAATGAATAATATTTCTTTTAAATTAAATTTACTCCACTAGCACTAGGGTGCACGTCAGGTTGATGGTGGAAGAGGCGGAACTGTCCCTATACTCGGCGAACGCGGTGTAATGAACGGAATTTGTATTGCGTATGGCCACATTGAAGCATCGCTGATGCATTAAATGTTGGCTCAGTGTTAGGATTCACCGTTCTCCCTACGACTTAATCCTCTGCCCTGCCAATTATGGATGTATGCTCTAGAGCTCCCGTGACAACTCTATGTAGGTCTTTAGCCCACGTAAATTAAATATGAAAACATATAAATTTTTGCCTTGCAAGTCATTCTGACAATACCGTAGTAATATTTTTTGAAAACTTCTTTGAGCGCGTTGAGCAGTTTTTGGGTGAACAAAAAGCGAACGTGTCCTCGTCACCGAACGCTTTCCATGACCTATTTTTAAAAAAGGAATACGGAAAAATATATTTGTAGTTATGGATGTTATATAAATACTTGGCACTTCGAATGCCCAATAAAATATCTTTATTAAATATTACAATTTTAGTTTTGATATTTTTTTATGTTTTCACTCCCCAGTCCCCATGAAACTGCCTATGTTTTTACGAAATTTTAGCCCAATACCGTGATTATTCACTAAATGGTTATTCAATTATTTGTACGAGTATATAGTTATTTATCAATGAATGGTAGATTGATAACCTTCCTTACATTGATAATTACTATTTTGAGGGATAACATTTTTCAGTCTACTTTGCTATCGTACAATTTAGGCATTATCATACATTCTTTATAAGAATTTTTTTGATTTTTTATGAATTTTTTCCTAATTTGTTAATGGTGACAAAAGTAAGTTTTTAAATGGTGGTTTAAATATGTGGTGGTAATATAATAGGTGGTCATGTAAGGAATCATGGAAGTTATGGCCAAGTTATTGTATAAGAAAAACAGCTTTGAAAAACAATATTGAGATTGCAATATTACACTCATATCACCCAACACAGTTTTTTGAATACCACAAACTAGGGCATGTATTTAGCTAAAATTTCGGAAATTCTACAGAAGTACCTAACCGCCTCTATAGTCTTTCTTTTTATCACAAACTCAGTCGCAGGTCTGCTCAGTCTATCGGTCAAACCCAATTGACTAATTTGCGACAGCGGGTCTATCATCTCCAGTAGACAGAAGTTTTGAGTGAGATGGAGAGGATCTATGGACAGCTGTACACATCGTCGTTGGAAAGACACACAAGTGTTAGTAACGACCCAAGAGCGAAGCTTTGCCGACACTGTTCTAAGAATATCCCGTACGTCAGTCTGAGCGAGATTAGAATCGTCTCGCTTCCAGACTCCACGACTTTCAACCTCCCAAACAAGCCCGATTCGGAAAAGGCTTTTGCACCATAGACCTCTTTCTATTTTTTACATACCCACTCTGCGCCAGATTATACAGAATTAAAATTAATATTACCTATTTAAAAAATATTTAATATCAACGGTGTCTCTGGGTTTCCTTATCAATCTCAAAGATCCATTTCCAGATAATGATGAAATCTCCTATTCGTCATATTTATATAAATTGTTCTATGTATGGTTTGCATTTTAAGTCATCATCATCATCACCATTTCAGACTGTATGAGTCCACTGCTGAAGATAAATCCCCCATAGACTGCCACGAAGTACGATCCTGAAACACCTGCATCCATCGACTTCCTGCACATTTGCACAGGTCGTCACTCCATCTAGTGGCGGGTCGTCCTACACTGCAATGGCCATTATGAGGCTGCTCGAGAACCTTTCCTTCCCAACGGTTATCGGTTCTACGAGCTATATGGCCGGCCCATCGCCACTTCAGCATGCTAATCCTCCGAGCTATGTCGGCTACCTTGGTTCTACTGCGGATGTCTTCGTTACGAACTCTATCACGCAGAGAAATACCGAGCATAGCCCGCTCCATAGCTCGCTGAGCGACTTCCTCATACGGCATGCAGTGAAATATTTTTAAGTAGCCACTTGATTTTTGGTTATTGTATAGAATTATTTCAAGCTAATTATTAATTTTTAATATAGATACGTATATACCTATGTTTCATGTGTTTTACGCAATGACATTATATACAAATACGAGGTATATAAGACACTAGCGCACCTAAACTGTGGCACTTAAATTACGCCAATTAGCATAATTAGATTGCAATTCTATAGACTGCTATCTTTTTCCGTATTAGACGTTCTATATTATCTGTCACATCCACGTGCATATTATGTCATATAATGTAATTAACAATGTTGTTGAAACTACACAAGAACCCTTCATTAAACATAAGAATAAAAGTTACAAAAGATCTGGATCTTATGTTATTCATCTTAAGTTCTTTAAAATGTAAAAAAAAAAACTAGTTTTTGGACATGGGGTACGTCCCCGTACAAAAGTGGTCATCGGCCCTCTATATTTTAACTATGGACTACAGTTTTTTATAGCACTCACATTGTGACAGCTAATTAAGACTAAGACATTATTCATTATATTTTCTTTAAACTAATGTTCAAAATATGTGATATACACACATAATTTATTATAAGCGTCTGTGAGACAACAGCAGCAGGCAAAGAGCAAGAGAACACTGAATGTTCAACACTCAGATTATAGCCTGGCCTGTGACGAAATGCTACATATTATTTTGGGACAAATGTTAAAATAACGACTGTATTAATAAACTTTTTCCCGATGAGTTTCTTTCGCCGGTTCTTCTAAATTGAGTGGCTTTATTTTTCGAAGCAGTAGTAGTATTTTGACTATAAGTAAGTGAGTATAATGCTCCTATGTTGAATAACAATGAAAAGATATTTGAATTTGAATTTAATATAGCTGTTACTCACATTTGTATCATAAAGATGACATTAATCGTCCTTATATTTTTATCAAATTTTTCATAAAAGAATGTGCCTAAATACCGTTTTATTTATTATTCGTCGATTCATCTATACAGGGAGGCTTTTTTAAAGGTGCCCATATTTAAACAGGAGGTTCAGAGTTCAGACTGGGTAGTATCGTTTATTGAAATAAAAACATTTTTTTTTTTTCAAAAAACATGATGATACTTACTAGTAATTTAATATTTTTATCATTTTTATATAACATTATTTAGGTCTAGAATTTAATAAAAATGGATACACTTAGATAAGCGTCCCTGTGTATGCCTATTACGAGCAAATATAATGTGGACACTTGCAGATTGCATGCATAAATGTTCACCCTAAAAATTATTAAATATCCTGCAAATAAAACAACACAACAATACTATATGTCCATATTAAATAATTTTCTTCAAAAAGTTTTAATATCTTATGTTTTAAATAATGTTAAGTATAAATAATTTACTTATACAGGAGTTTAATATAAACTCCACAAGAATTCTTATACAAAGTTCAGTGTTGTCAGCATTAAAATCATAAGGACGGTTGCACTTTTCCCGAACGCTGCCTTCGATTCATATGGATCGACGTCGAAATCATAGTCGATAATTCTGCTCCTGATTATTTCTTTGTAAACTAAGGCAGATTTCTTCGGGAATCTCTTCCTCTCTGGATCGTCTACATCAATCTCGTAGATGCCAAACCTCAAGCTGAAATGAAGTTATGTGATGTCACAATGAGATAACAATACTCTTACCAGCCCCATTACTGAGCACCGAATCGACCATTAAATTTTGTTTATTATTTTTCATTTAAGATTTCCTAAGCTAAGCCAGAACTATTCGGAATATAATGGAAAAAGGCTATGCGAAAAAGACTTTTGGTGTACAAAACGTAAAATGAACATTTAACATTTAACCTAATTTTTATTCTATCTTAGGTTTGGTACGCATCTTAAATAGAAGTACCGTAGTTCATGTAATCTGTACATTTTGATTTGTATATAAGTGAAGAAATAAATAATGATAATCGATTTAAAAAGAAATCACCTGTATGTACGTATATACTTCTAGGACGATGAAACTGAAGCGAAAAATTTCGCTTAGACAGGAAAGAACCGAACTACTGCCTCTAAAGTAAGTAATTCTACACACTGATTTACCCTTCCAAAATTGTAATGTACGGCACTCATATAGAATATTTAATAATACGGAAGATAATGATGTATCTATTACTTTAGCGATTATAAAGAGATTAAAAATAAATCACTATTTTTATTTAATAAATTATTCGACTATAACATAAAATCTTACTTTAGTACTCGATATTTGGCTGATTAGGATAAAAGTAGCCGAAAACCGAATAATAGTCCAATATCCGTTGCAAGTCTAGTCTCAGATGTTTGCTGTAAAGACCACAATTGGATATTTTAGTCCTCAGAATGAATCATGGGCACTGGGCGACTATTTCGGGTGGACACTAATAAAAGAATCATCCGAACAAACATACACATAGCCAAAGCTCCACTCGAAGTTGTCCATCAAACTCCAAGCGAAGTAGGCCTTCACGTTTACACCCTCCGCCAAGGCGTCGAGCAACGCATTTAAATAGTTCCTGTAATACTGGACGCGGCCGTCGTCGTTGCGGCCAGTTTGCGTGGAGCACCCATTCTCCGTGATATATATCTTCGGGTTGTTATACGTGTTCTTCAGGTACACCAGCAAGTGGTAGAAGCCAGGGGCATATTCCTGCAGTAAAGTCACAGAAAATATGTCTCACTGCTGAGCAAAGATCACAATACAGATGGTATTAGAGGATTGGAGTACTTCACTACTTATTTTTTTATTATTATTTCGAAAGTATAACTGTACTGCAAACATATTTAGACGAATTGCAAAGGAGCGCTTATACTGGGACAAAAAACTCCATGTGATTTAGGAAAAATCAATTCTTTATCAATCAATCAATATTATTTTTTATATTTTTTTAGAAGCACGAAACCATTGTCCCTATTTTTCTACTTACGTGAATAAATCCACTTTCGATTGGCCAACTAGGGTGGGCGTACTCTCCGTAAAACGCATCATCACCGCTCGATGGCACGTGGAAGGTTCCCGCGAGCGATTCGTTCCTGTAAACTATCTTGCTGGTGTAGTGGTTCAAGCCGAGGAAGTCGGCGGTGCCCCTCATGTACTCTATCTGCTCGTCGGTGAAGGGGCGAAGGCGAGAAGCGTTCAGGCCCTGCGC